TCTGAAGACAAAATATTCAAACACAGGCAAAACATCTGTCTGACATCAGGTTGCTTTAAACTTGAATAATATCCTAATGTTTTATTCAAGGTTTTCATATCTATCACCGATTACCAAGACTCATGCCTGAAAGCTGCATCCTGATTGCCATTGGAGCACTGGTAGGAGCAATCATCTTTGCTTCGCATCACAAATCTCCACCAGTGATGAACTCAAGTATTTACTTCTTGTATCTCCTTCCACCCATTATCCTGGAGGAGGGTTATTTCATGCCAACTCGCCCATTTTTTGAAAACTTTGGGTCCATTCTGTGGTGGTCTGTTATGGGATCTCTGCTAAACTCATTTGGGATTGGCCTCTCCCTCTATGGAATCTGTCAGATCAAAGCCTTCGGCCTGACCGACGTGAACCTGCTGCAGAATCTGCTCTTTGGCAGCATGATTTCAGCGGTGGATCCTGTGGCAGCGCTGGTAGTTTTTGAAGAAGCCTCTGTTAACGAGCAGCTTTACATGATGATCTTCGGAGAGTCATTGCTAAATGATGGCATAACTGTGGTGAGTTTCTTTCTACTCCTTGTCTTCCCTTCTTTGGGGTCTTGTGGTTTGTAGGCTTATTGGGCACAGGACAAGAGCAGTTTTAAGGAGATTCTAGATACATTATTTATTTTATGGATACTCTATTCCATTACCCAAAAGGGATTTTAATGTATGTAAAAATTACATCTTATATGAACTCTTTCAAAAGCCTGTATTTTAGAGCTGCTGGAAGAGGGAAGCACATATATACACACGAGAACTCATCTTGCTCTTGCATTCACTGAAGAGAATGGGTGAGATACAGCTGATTTTCCTGGTAAGACCTAGGAATGGTCTTGACATTATGCATGGAAATACACAGAAAACTGTACTGCTTAGAGACTGAGGGAAGCAGGGGTAGAAATATGGGAGACCCTGCTTTGTCATATGTCTGAGAAAGCCCTCTGAAAAAAAAAAAGAAATCCAAATGTGGACAACCTCTGGAAGCCATACTCTATCCTCCAGCCCTTCCTAGGAAGTTCCTGAGAGACCTTAGAGAGCAATTCCAAATGTAATTAATAACACTGCATAACTGTTTCTAACAGTAAAAAAATTGACATCTGACAAATGCTCACCTATTTTGGCAGCCTTATCTCAAGTATCCTGAAACAACGCTTCTAGAATAAGAGAGATTTTGATTGGTTGGTTGTTTTTTATTGTTGTTGTTAGTTGTTGTTTTTCTCTTTTAATAGGAAAAGAATGCTTTTACAGAGCTTCTTTCGCTAATATTTTCCCCCATATCTCATTAGTTCTGCTAAAATTGGAGCAATCTGAAACTCTAGCTGTAAAGCAGAAGTGGTAAGAACACTTAGAACACACATGTTTTTCAAGGAAGAAATTTCAAGCAGGAAATTTATTGCTCAGAAACCAACAGCTCTGCTCCTGTGCTGCAAGTTAATGGCAGGTTAAGGAGTTTCGTTAGATAAGATCTTTACAGAATTTAAATCACAGGAATCTAAGACACATAAAAACTATTCAGATACTGCTATACATGAGGTGCAGCACAACTTGGACTTGTAAAATCTGTATAAAGTTCACTGCTGAAAGGCATCATGGGAAAAGTGCAGTTTATGAGTGATAAGAAAAGGAAAAAGAAAAAAGTAATTACTTGCAGCCACAACCTATTGATCATAAATCCTTCCTCTTGTTGAATGTAGGCTGATGTAGAACTAAGGGACAAATGTTGCTTCATTTACATGCAAACTATCTATGTAGTAAAATCCAGGATGCATCTATCACTTACACTTATCTTTTTGGTTCCTTTAAGTGCAAACCTCAAAAAATTAATACCTCTTTACTCTGAAAGAGCTTGTTTCATGCTCTTTTTTGACTGGCTCACTGCATTGCCTTTCCCTTTCTCCCAGCTGTTATTTACGTCCCAGCTCCAACTCCTGATGGTATTTACACGAGCTTTCAGTCAGGATCCTGTTACAGCAGAAATGTTTAAAGACAGAAGGCCTTTTAAGACAGTGGTATATAGGCACTCAGCTTCAATAGGTGTGTTAGTAAAAGAGATGAAAGGGTTGTACATGGGGCATGCTGGCTACAACACTGTGAGTTCCCACTGCCCCCACACACTTATCTTTGGGGCTCTTCTCACAGCAGCTGTTTTGCAAGCAGTTTGTCAGCTTCTGCTATTGCATCAACTACCACTCATCCATTTTCTGGGTATTTCAGTTTTCAAAATCTCTACCTGTCTTCATGCTTGAGAAGACTGAAGTACTTGTCACCTGAATGGAGTCCAATGGGTGGCTTTCTCCTCCCTGATATCCCATTTCCTTTAAAATAAAACTATTTATCTCAGGTGTCTTATCTTACCATTTCCTTCTTTTTCTCTCTTAACCATTTCATTTAACTCTATGTGTTTAAAAAAGATAATATCTCCAAGATATATTAAGCATACATATTTTTTTATTGTTTAAATACAAATATGCCCTGGTTCTCTCCAGTCTGGTTATCAGCTAGAAAATTTTCTACCCAGCAGGAGAAACTGGTATGAATTTTGTTGAACTTGTGTATTACATTTGAGGCAACAGTAGCTGTCTCCTACATTTAGTTCAATATCCTGGTATTAAAAAATCACAAAAGAACAGATAGGGTAATTTGAATTATGATCTAGAAGTTATGCCTTTGACTTGAAGAGAGAAAGTGGAAAATTTACACTTTTTACCCATTGGTACTTTTTCCTATTCTCCACAGTAGGGCCATGTCTGTGGATGGAACAAGAAGGTTCCAAGTCCTGTTAATTGCACCCCATTGTTTCTGAGTGCATCAGAATAGCTCAGACAGCAACAGGACTGGTCTTAGCATATATCATACATTAGTGGAGTTTTAAAGCCCTGTTCAAAATAGTTATGTTGGTAAATCCAGTGCAGAGCTTATTCAAACCTGAATACAGGTGGAGCAAACTGATTTTGCTGGAAAATGTTTCAGGCAGCCGAAGCTCTGCTCCTGCATATACACAGATCATTTTGTTTCTCAACAGGGGCTGAGCACATGTATGCATCAGGAAGTGGAATATTCCCTGACTGCTTCATCTCTGAGGCTTGATTTTAGAAACACTGAGAACACCTATATATCATGCTGTACTCAAAATGAGTGCAAGTGACTATATTCTCTAATGGCACCATTTCTTCTTTGTATGCAGCAGAACTGTTTAATCTAATACATGTTGAAGACCCAAGTAAAATTATTGAGGGAATCTGAATTTGCCCATCTGGTGTCACTGAGGAAGGCTTTGATAAGTGGGATGTATGGGTGCTAGGAAGGAGGATGGAGACAATCTCTGCTACTGGATGTTAAACTTGATCCACTGTGTACAGAGTACAACTAACTACAGCGGTCATTATGAATCATCAGGGTGGTAAGAAAAAGTTACCAAAACTGCCTGTGTTTGTGGTTAAGGCAGTCACCTGACACTTTTTTCCCCCAATGCTTCTGATGGGGATGGCGTGTGCAATAATTATATATAGACAGCTGGAGCACAGAGCAGTCCCTGGGGAGTCCCCTGTGGGTGTCAGTGTTATGCTCTCTCCTTCTCTTCCTGGCTCTAAGAGCCTCCCAGTGGTACACCACCACACAGTAGCATCCTCTCCGAAAAGGCCATTCTCAGAGTTGCTAAAGGACACCAACTATCAATCCACCCCTTCTTTTTGAGTGAATAAAAGCATCCTAAGCTGATTCAGGCTTTCCTACCGTGTAAAGAATGATAGTACTCCTTTTACTGTCATAAACACTGCAATGTAACTTAGCTGAGGAGCACTTACATGGAGCCTTACTTGTATGACACAGTGCAGGTTGTTATACAGAACAGTTTATTCCCACAAAGCATGTTACAAAAAAAAAAAAAAAGGAAATTATGTCATATTTCGATAATTTCTATTTTGATGCCAACTCAGTTAAATAATACAGACACTTTAGGAACTAGAAAAGGGGGAAAAAACTTGAAAAGTCATTTGTTGAGGATAACTTGCTTTATTTGCAAGTCAGCATAGATTCATACCTTGGTATCATTTACAAAGAACCACAATTCTTAGGAATAGGTTAAAGTCTATAGGAAAGGGAGAACAGAGAGAAAACAGACTCTGTAATTAAAAGCTATATGGTAGGTTCAGTGAGGTTTGCTTACTGAGGAGAATGAAAACCCTTTTCCTTATCTCCCACTGAACAGTTGAATGTCATACACTGGCATTAGGAAAAACCAGTTCTTTGTATTTTCTCACATGAAATATTTTGTTCTGCTTTGTCTGTCCCCCAGAAATATTAGCAGAGAGCCTCCTGGAGAACAGACTGTGTGACAGCCTCAAGGTCACATGTCCCCAGCAGCAATTTAAGATTAGATAGTAGCTGGGGAGTAATTATTATCCTAATGAACTTGACTCTTCTACCTGCAAATACCTGCTTTAATCTTCCTAATAACCTTCTGGAATTAACTAAATGAAGAAGAAAGACCAAAGAAAATCATAAAATGCAAATGATTTTGGTCTATTTTTTGTTTTTGAACTAATGCTTTGATGTAACAGCTTTGGAGAGCCGGTGTCTTTAGTTGTTTCCCAAATTCTCTTGAAAACTGAAAGGTGACTTTCATATGTTACGTACTCACTGTAAACAGACCTGACAGGACTTAATATTAACCAATTGTCAACAACCTCTAGGACCTTTTTATTACTACACCACTTATTACTATGGAAACTTTCTATTAGTTTCTAAAAGGTGAATGGAAGTGGAATATGCTGAAAATTTTCATCACCCATTTCCACAGAAAATAAATCATTGATAATAGAAGCATGATAAATTTTTCTGCTCTAAATTAAAGAAATTATCTTTACAGACCAAATTATACAACACGTTATAATAAAATTATAAATTGCAGTAAATTCAACCTTTCTTCTAATCTGATATTATTTTCCTTTAAATTTTGTAATTTCAAGCTTTTTAGCCAAAACGTACGTGTAAAGGGTCTTTAGGCCATTTAGAGTGCCACAGTTTTTGTTTCTTACTTTGAAATTGTTCCCTCGGGAGGAGGTTAAGTGGCATCAAACCCATATATATATATATGAGGATAGAGAAACTTCATTTATCTAGCTGGAGAGAATATGAAATTGAGGCTATCATTTTCCCTTCCCTTCCCTTCCCTTCCCTTCCCTTCCCTTC